TTTTAACAAAGCTTACCCCTGTATGCTTTGTGCACCTTCTAAACGTGAGGTGGTGATTAAGTGACTCGGATTGGTTTCGTATATGCTATGTGCCTTGCGATGATTTTATACATATGGTGTTTGTCCGCACTCAGCTTAATGAAACATGGGGGGATTACTACCATGTGCAGATTGGGGCATTTCAGTAGGATATCACTATAAAAAGCATACTTGTGTGACCTAATTGTTTGTAGGCACAGTCTTTACATGACTTTCATGTTAGCGAGTAAAACTTTAAACTAACGAAGTAGGTTTGGGCGACGAGACGTAAACACACTTATTGTGATGTTTGACCCTGAGATAGCGCACCTGGAATTGATGTTCTCTGCTGACTATGGCATTGTGGACCAAGGCAGCAGCGGCGCCGAGTTCCATGGTCGGGAAAGGCGTGTGGTGTATCCGGTTCACAAGGACTTGCTGGGGGCCGTACATATTGGGGTCAAGCTGTTCAAAGAATGTGTCTCCATGGCGAGTAATGAAATCGTCATATATACGATCAATATCTCTACAACAGAATTAATCACACTTCCAAATAACTATACTCATCAGTTGACGGAAACATTTACATATATAACTGTTGTCAAATAGCAATGTGTATGTATCTTAAAGATTCAGCTAAGCGAGGAAGCAGTTGTCATTTTTGTTTTTGGTTAGTGCTGAAGTTACTATCGATAAAAACGATAATATTCCCCGTCCTATTCGGCTCTACCGAAATGGCAACTCACTTAACAATATTTGTAAGGTTCCTCGTTTGCTGCTGTTGCTGTCGTGAGTATACTGGAAATTATTTTAAACATTTTCTAGCAGCTCTCAAAACATTTTTTTCTTAGACCCTTTCAATAGAAATTAATAGACTCCTGGGTTACAGACTGTCATCTGACGCAGCTATGAGAATATCAGATCATACATCGTAAAGTTTCGATGAAATAAAAATAAATATACGTACAACATTCGCTGGTCAGCGTTTCTAATTAAACTACATAACTATATCTACGTAAAAATTCAAAAATTCCAGCCTTTCCCCCGATTGGTCAGAGTGTTTTCGCTCAATTATGGTTACATTTGACAATAGGAACGATAAATTAAAACAAAGAGTATTGGCGTGAACCCTAAAATGATCATCCCCAGGTGATATTGACAATACGTCTGTTAAGTATGTAAGTATATATAGGTAAAACTTTACAAGTATTAATCACATATCTTAACGTTAACACTACCTCAGTCTGCTCAAGTTAGTCTTCCGATGTCTCTTGGAGAACAGATCCAATATCATAGGGATGGTGGGCTCGATAACTTCTAGCCACTGAGAGCAGGGTATCCCATCTAAGATTGGTTCGTTGAATCTATCGTAGTTGATGCTGGCCTTCATTTCCTCAGTAACACCCTCATAGATGACCACATCCCAGTACGATTTCTGGAACGATGAATGGAAGGACTGGCGCGTGTTTGTTAAATCGCCATGAGTAAAGAACCACGCTATGTTCAGGACGGGGGATGTGACGGACGATACCATGGTGACCAGCAGACCTTCTCTTTTTAAGGCTTGGAAAAACTGTCTGTCTGTGTTGAAATTTCGGAAGAAAAATGAGCATGCCGTCAACTTGAACAGTGGCCAGTTCCTGATTTCTGTGGGTCGAGATAACACAACCTTCTTTGTTTTCTTTTTACTTACTTCTTTTTTAGGTGTTATTTGTGAGCATGGGGTTTGCACGTCACTGGTCGAGGACCATGTAGTGTCCTTAGATTTCCTATTAGATCGTTTTTTTGACCTATGACAGTAACCGAAACAGCCTCCTAGAAGGGACATCTTAGATCAGCTGATCCCATCAAAGGAACTGTCCGCTAGTGTTGTATTTTTGTCGATCCATTTCATCAGCTGTAGCATAACATACAGAAGGACTTGATGATGGTTGTTTAACAAGTTAAAATGTGTAATGTTATGAAGTTCCCATCATTTCATGATTAGAACTAGTCTCTCTCGAACCCCCGTATATCATTATTCCATACACACCTCCTACTTCCCGACAAAAGATACATTCTATCTAAGCTGCAATGGACGCAAACATTCCACCTCGCTTTCTGCCTCTATGCATCTTATAAGTACACCGAAATAATTTGCAACCTGCCATACGTGCAGTTTATAGCTCAACATGGATGTTTGAACGACTTCTGTTGCGGAGACATCTGTCCTCTACACAACAGGGTACGCAAACAAGATACTTTGTCGATGTAATGTGTTTCCATTTCATATACATACCAATTCAAAGGAGAAAACACTGTATGGCAGTGTAGTGTCTTTCCTTCTTCATACCGCTTACATTTCCACCCGCACAAAAGTTTACGGTGATCACATGGCAACATGACGTCATGGAACAATAATTGGCATAACGTCATAATACAACGAGTCTGTGACGTCATCAACCTCAATATTTCTCAATATTAGATACCGACTACTGTAAGCTATATACCTTGCTTTATAATGGCTCCAACAATGTGTGTCGACTCTAAGGTTTCAGCTGATTTGTACTTTTGGTAATAGGTCGTATTGTTCTTTCTGCCTTTGTTCTTGGTAGTGTGTGTTGGCATTCATAGCGCTTAATTCCATTCAACTCCTAAAATGTTTGAACATAAAGCACCAATGTTCCACCATCGATACACGATATGTTGGTATAAATGATATGTTGGCGTAAATAATACACCTGATGGTGTAAACGATAAACACGTTGGTGTAAACGATAAACATGTTAGTGTAAACGATAAACATGTTAGTGTAAACGATAAACAATCATGTTGGTGTAAACGATAAATATCCTATTGTTACACGTTAGTCATGGTTACGAGTTTTCCAGCTATGTATCTTTTTCTGTTGTTTCACGTTAGCCATACTTTGGTTTCAGGTTTTCAGCTACTTGACGTTAGAACTGGTTTGGTTACGGGTTTTCAGCTATGTGACGTTAGAACTGGGTTACCTGTTTTCAGCTACGTGACGTTAGAACTGGTTTGGTTACGGGTTTTCAGCTACGTGACGTTAGAACTGGTTTGGTTACGGGTTTTCAGCTACGTGACGTTAGAACTGGTTTGGTTACGGGTTTTCAGCTATGTGACGTTAGAACTGGTTTGGTTACGGGTTTTCAGCTACGTGACGTTAGAACTGGTTTGATTTCGGGTTTTCAGCTATGTGACGTTAGAACTGGTTTGGTTACGGGTTTTCGTACGTGACGTTAGAACTGGTTTGACGTTAGAACTGGGTTTGGGTTTCAGCTACGTGGCGTTAGAACTGGTTTGGTTACGGGTTTTCAGCTACGTGACGTTAGAACTGGGTTTGGGTTTCAGCTACGTGGCGTTAGAACTGGGTTTCGGGTTTTCAGCTACGTGACGTTAGACCTGGGTTTCGGGTTTTCAGCTACTTGACGTTAGAACTGGTTTGGTTACGGGTTTTCAGCTACGTGACGTTAGAACTGGTTTGGTTACGGGTTTTCAGCTACGTGACGTTAGAACTGGGTTTCGGGTTTCAGCTACGTGACGTTAGAACTGGTTTGGTTACGTTTTTTTAGCTACGTGACGTTAGAACTGGTTTGGTTACGGGTTTTCAGCTACGTGACGTTAGAACTGGGTTTGGGTTTCAGCTACGTGGCGTTAGAACTGGGTTACGGGTTTTCAGCTACGTGACGTTAGAACTGGGTTTCGGGTTTCAGCTACGTGACGTTAGAACTGGGTTTCGGGTTTTCAGCTACGTGACGTTAGACCTGGGTTTGGTTACGGGTTTTCAGCTACGTGTCACAGCCTTTTGTTACGCCTTAGTCTCTTTCTGCTGTTTCACGTTAGCCATGGTTTCGTTAAGATTTTTTCCAGTTATGCGTCTCTTACTATTGTTCCTGGTTAGGCCTGGTTTGGTTACAGGTTTTCAGCTACACGACTCTGTTGTTATACGTTGGGTCTCGCTAGTTTGGTTTGGGGTTTTCTCCACCTATCCAACTCCTGATACACGTTAAGTGTGGTTTTCTGTCTTTACACCACATATGTAGACCATCATATGGTATTAGGCACTAAGTCTATACAAATGTATACATCACCATACGGAGCGAGGCATGTCATTGATATCATTAATTCGAATTTGTGATATCAATTATTGCCCAGATTATTGATATCAGTATTTGATTTAATTATTTCATTAATTCGAATTAGTGATATCACGAATTTGTAGTATTGACATTACACTTTGAGGATTAATAATAAAATGGCGCCCCATGTACCTCTGTTTTGGCTCTTAATCACACGAAGGTTTTTAAAAAATCATAAGAAATAGCCATAATAATCTATAACTTCCAAATCAAAGATGGTTGCCTGACAGCCATTTTGTTTTCTGATGAGCCCAAAAATCAGAAGGGCATAGCTAGGGACCTAGGGGCACATACAGTGTGTACATACAAATTTTGAGAATTATCTATCAAGTACTCAAGAAACAGCAATAAACTTTCATAGTCAATATCCAAGATGGCCACCTGTTAGCCATTTTGTTTTTCTAATCATTCCAAAATCAAAGGGACAGCACTAGGGACCAAGGGAAACCTACCTAAATATATGAATTTGAGAAAGATCCACACAGAACTTCTAAAGAAATAAGGGAAAAATACTTTCATGGTCAAAATCCAAGATGGCCACCTGTCAGTTTTAGTGGTCATATCCAAAAAGGGCACAATTTGAGACCAAGGGGCAGGCACCTATACATGAAATTTGAGAAAGATCAATTCAGTGCTTAAGAAATTGCAACGACAGGAATCTTTTATGGATGGACGGAAGATGGACGAATGGATGGATGGACAACAGACCACAGAAGTAGGGTCATTTGAATAGCCCACAATCATCAAATGGTCAGCTGAAAAATCTTTCTTCATCAAAACATGTATCTTACTATATTCACTTAGGTTATAAATGTTGATACCAACACATAAAACAGAAAACATTAATCACTGTTTATTTTTACATGTATATAACACAAACTCACATCACTGTTTAATATCATACAAATGCATTGACAATTTTTGCTGTACTGCAATAAGTGTACCATGTATACAATAATTGTACTGTACAGGGAGAAAATCTCCTACAAGACAAAGATAAATACATAAAATATGAATTTTATCTGGACAAGAAAGCCCCTTGGTGGTTTGACAGCACTGGAAACAACATCTGATTAAAATACCATGATCATTATTCTATATTTCTGAGATATACCTGAGTATTCAATTTTAACCAGACATTGTTTCAACATTCTTTTAAATAAGGACTATGTGTTCCTTTGAACACCTACAATTTGTCCTAATTATATCAACATGAAATAACACTGGAGATGTTGAACAGAATTCTGCTTTTCACATTGACAATTTTCTGTTAAACTTCCAGACTACATGCTATTTAAGGTCATTTGGTTTATTGTTGCTCTTTGTCCTATTGCCTCAGTCTATCACAGTTTGAACAGATTCCCAGTAAGCTGTAGAAAAACACAATAAGACGGACAGTACAGTATATAAAAAAACTCCCTCTTCCAAATTCAGCAGATTCTGGCACCCCTTCCCCACTGTTACAGTTCTCATTGATAATATCATAATGGTCAGTCTTCTATCTGTCAGGAGGAGACAGTGTCCTAATGGTCAGTCTACCATCTGTCAGGAGGAGACAGTGTCCTAATGGTCAGTCTTCTATCTGTCAGGAGGAGATAGTGTCCTAATGGTCAGTCTACCATCTGTCAGGAGACAGTGTCCTAATGGTCAGTCTTCCATCTGTTAGGAGGAGACAGTGTCCTAACGGTCAGTCTACCATCTGTCAGGAGACAGTGTCCTAATGGTCAGTCTACCATCTGTCAGGAGACAGTGTCCTAATGGTCAGTCTACCATCTGTCAGGAGACAGTGTCCTAATGGTCTGTCTACCATCTGTCAGTAGATAGTGTCCAAATGGTCAGTCTACCATCTGTCAGGAGATAGTGTCCTAATGGTCTGTCTACCATCTGTCAGTAGATAGTGTCCAAATGGTCAGTCTACCATCTGTCAGGAGATAGTGTCCTAATGGTCAGTCTACCATCTGTCAGGAGGAAGACAGAAGCTGTGTTTCTTCTTCCTCTTCTTCTTCTTTGTTTCCAGTTACAAACAGTGTTCGAGCAACAACATGGGACATCCTTTTTTCTGAAAACAAGAAAATCAGAAAGAGGACTATTTCCAGTATTTTTATAGTAATAGACTATGTAGTAGAATTAGTAATGATAAATTTATATATTTTTGTATTGAAACATGTCATTAGGAGTTAAATATGTTATCAATCAGGGAGAAACATTCCACTTACAACATCCAGTATTATTACCTCCCTCCACCTCCAACCACTACAAGCACCCATTGACACACTTCACACTTCTGGTTCTGACAAATGTCTTATATAATCTGTGGTACATTCAAACTCCAACTTTTCTCATAAAAGTCTAAAGATACTTTAGGAAGGGACAGCGTAATGGTGATATTATGAAGGGATGTAACCTGGGCTGGTAGAAAAGCAGTTATTGACAACCTTTGACCAGGGCTGATAGAAGAGCAATCATTGACAATCTTTGCCCCGGGCTGGTAGAAGAGCAATCATTGACAACCTTTGACCAGGGCTGGTAGAAGAGCAGTTATTGACAATCTTTACAGAAGATATATGACCCCAAAGACAATTAATCCAACAACAGTTTCACAAAGCAAACAAGACCTGAGACAATGTTAAGGAATACATACGCAGCATCAATTTTCTTTTGGTCCTGGTTACAAAGTATCGGGCTCCAACATAGAAAAGTACAGGCAATGTGAGCAGCAGGAAAGCTATGATGACCACTATAGCATCATCAGGGGAGTGTCTGGAACAGTGGAGCTGTTGTCCCCACATCAGACGTGTGTAGTTCATCTGAAACAGGAAACAACTCACACAAACTTTGGAAATCAACGCTGAATGAGTTCTTGAAAGTAAAAAAATCTGATGTTAACAAAGGAAGCATATACAACGTATTTTATCCTGTTGTGAATTTTTTAAAATGAAATAAACAGATGGTGATGTTTCAGTTTATGTAATGTCCCGTCATATGGACACCATTTACAAAATACAAATACATGAAGACAAGAAAATGTATATAATGGTTTTTTTCTTGGCTGTTATTTTCTGCTATCAAAAACATTCAAATTTTATCCACAAGACAAGTTCCACAAGAGCTACATTTGACTATAAAAAAATTATTAGAGTAATTGCTTTTTTTCACATGAATATTATAAATGAAAGTTGAGAAAGAAACTTCCATCAGTTCTTTGTGAAATATGCAGCTATAAAAAGCACTAACTCTCAGTATCCAAGGTTGGCTGTTGCCTGCTGTCAATCTTCTTTTTGTGGGGTATCAAAAATAGGAAACTATTTTATGAGATTAGAAAAAATATCATTTCTCTACTTTTTATGAAATAGTGAAAAACATATTGGGAAACTGAAAATCTAAGACGGCCAGCTGCCTACCCATCTTGTTTTCTGTTCCTAATTATGTGCATACATAAGAATGAAGAAAAACCAAACAAAAAAGAGAAAATGAAACAAATCCATTATGGACTATTTGAGAGTGATATCAAGAAATGTTATAAGGACCATCGATGAAGTGTGACTGGAATGGTGCCAAAATGATGTACATTTCATATGTAGCTTTTCATTAAGAGAAGGTTATGGTTTTCAAATTGAAGGTACCCCAACAAATATAAGTCATTCATACATCTTACCATATTTGGTATGTGAGTGATACATCAGTTTGAAGGATAATTTGTATCTATGTATTTTGACTATTTCTGTTAGATGATAAGTTCAGAAACATTTAGTAAGAACTTTAATTTATTGTAACTTACCATATCAACCAGGTCCATACACACCAAGTCATTTTTGGCAGATCGCACCTTTTTGTAGAAAGTGTTAAGGTCTGTATAGTTTCCACGACAAACTTCACATACGCTATCATTGCTATTCTACAACACAACAAATGTGAAATCTTTAATGATGTGGTAATGTGGTATATATCAGATAGGGTTGTACCAATCTCACATAACAGGTAAAAAGCGAAAAATATAGATAACCTGAAAATATTCACAAGTTCATTCAATCTTAAAATAAATCAATGGATTTCTTATTTAACAAAATATCCATTAATAAAAATAAAAATGGTTCCTGATTGCTTTGATGGCATGACTCCTTCATACTTTACTATATAGATACACAGGTATCCAGTGTTTATTTGGTCCTGTAACAGTGTACTGTATAGATACACAGGTATCCAGTGTTTATTTGGTCCTGTAACAGTGTACTGTATAGATACACAGGTATCCAGTGTTTATTTGGTCCTGTAACAGTGTACTGTATAGATACACAGGTATCCAGTGTTTATTTGGTACTGTAACAGTGTACTGTATAGATACACAGGTATCCAGTGTTTATTTGGTCCTGTAACAGTGTACTGTATAGATACACAGGTATCCAGTGTTTATTTGGTACTGTAACAGTGTACTGTATAGATACACAGGTATCCAGTGTTTATTTGGTCCTGTAACAGTGTACTGTATAGATACACAGGTATCCAGTGTTTATTTGGTACTGTAACAGTGTACTGTATAGATACACAGGTATCCAGTGTTTATTTGGTCCTGTAACAGTGTACTGTATAGATACACAGGTATACGCCTGCATTATATGTTAGTGTATGAGATATCAACACTAGTGACAAAACTGTGGTAATTACCCCGTTTGACTGATAATGCCGAAGACACCGAGACACAGTTTTGTATTTTCCCATGAATTCTGTGGTGTCTTTGCTGTACTGGTATATAACTGTTCCATTGCCATCTATTGATACACTGCTGAAACATCCTGAAATAACACAAAAATAATTAACACATCAATCCACCAGACCATATCATGATTTTAAAACACAATAATAATTATCAAAACAAAACAGACCATATCATGATCTTCTATTTTAGTGAAAACATTTTTAGTAATCAGAAATATTCAATGGTTATTTGTGTAACTGTTGTGAGACATGTCTGGCCGACTGTTGTTTGTGTAACTGTTGTGGGACATGTCTGGCCGACTGTTGTTTGTGTAACTGTTGTGGGACATGTCTGGGCGACTGTTGTTTGTGTAACTGTAGTGGGACACGTCTGGCCGACTGTTGTTTGTGTAACTATTGTGGGACATGTCTGGCCGACTGTTGTTTGTGTAACTGTAGTGGGACATGTCTGGCCGACTGTTGTTTGTGTAACTGTAGTGGGACACGTCTGGCCGACTGTTGTTTGTGTAACTGTTGTGGGACATGTCTGGCCAACTGTTGTTTGTGTAACTGTAGTGGGACATGTCTGGCCGACTGTTGTTTGTGTAACTGTTGTGGGACATGTCTGGCTGACTGTTGTGTAACTGTTGTGGGACATGTCTGGCCGACTGTTGTTTGTGTAACTGTTGTGGGACATGTCTGGCCGACTGTTGTTTGTGTAACTGTAGTGGGACATGTCTGGCCGACTGTTGTTTGTGTCACTCTAGTGGGACATGTCTGGCCGACTGTTGTTTGTGTAACTGTTGTGGGACATGTCTGGCCGACTGTTGTTTGTGTAACTGTTGTGGGACATGTCTGGCCGACTGTTGTTTGTGTAACTGTTGTGGGACATGTCTGGCCGACTGTTGTTTGTGTAACTGTAGTGGGACATGTCTGGCCGACTGTTGTTTGTGTCACTCTAGTGGGACATGTCGGGCCAACAGTTTTTAGTTCTATTTTATAGAATATTACAATGCCACTTTTGTTAAATGGTTGGCTGGGTGCATGGTAAATGGTTGGCTGGGTGCTGGGTGCATGTTAAATGGTTGGCTGGGTGCTGGGTGCATGTTAAATGGTTGGCTGGGTGCATGTTAAATGGTTGGCTGGGTGCTGGGTGCATGTTAAATGGTTGGCTGGGTGCTGGGTGCATGATAAATGGTTGGCTGGGTGCTGGGTGCATGTTAAATGGTTGGCTGGGTGCATGTTAAATGGTTGGCTGGGTGCTGGGCGCATGTTAAATGGTTGGCTGGGTGCTGGGTGCATGATAAATGGTTGGCTGGGTGCTGGGTGCATGTTAAATGGTTGGCTGGGTGCTGGGTGCATGGTAAATGGTTGGCTGGGTGCTGGGTGCATGTTAAATGGTTGGCTGGGTGCATGTTAAATGGTTGGCTGGGTGCTGGGTGCATGATAAATGGTTGGCTGGGTGCTGGGTGCATGATAAATGGTTGGCTGGGTGCTGGGTGCATGATAAATGGTTGGCTGGGTGCTGGGTGCATGTTAAATGGTTGGCTGGGTGCTGGGTGCATGATAAATGGTTGGCTGGGTGCTGGGTGCTTGGTAAATGGTTACATCGGTTTTTTGCTTTCCAATAAGAAAACAAGACATTGATTTCATGATGGGATGTGAAAAGGAAATAGATAACCTGTTTGGCCACACAAGAGTTTTGTCAAGGTATATTCCTACCATATAAAGATCCCACATATATTTTTATCTGGGCTAAGAAGAGAGGTTGATATACTGTGAAATTTATACTTGTAAAAATAACTGGAGGTTTTTGCATTGTTGTGTTAAAGGTAAGAAGAGAGCTGGATATTGAGTGGATCAATGATACAAACCTTTGCAGTTGGCTTCGTCCCAGATCTGTCGTATGTTGTTGTAAATTTCGTTCAGGACTTGAACACGATCTGCATTTAATAACAAACTTTTGCAGCCATCTCTGTCTTTGCCATCCTGAAACAAAAATGTACATCTGATTATGCATTTTACAGTCACAATTCGATTACAACTGCTATTAGGCACTGTCCTCCCTGGTCAATATCTACACTGTCCTACCTGGTCACATATCTACACTGTCCTACCTGGTCACATATCTACACTGTCCTACCTGGTCACCTATCTACACTGTTCTACCTGGTCACTATATCTACACTGTCCTACCTGGTCACAGTATCTACATTGTCCTACCTAGTCACAGTATCTACATTGTCCTACCTAGTCACATGTACATATGAGGGCTGATTGATATGTTATGACCCTCATATATAAGGGTTTGACTTTAGATGGAAATATTGCTTATTTTTCAACCTTATCCCCTTCAGTATCTGTACACTTTTGCCTGCGATGTTTAAGGGCATCAATGCCACTTTTAAGTTCTTTTCTTGACTGTTCAGAAAGTCTTCCACTGCATGTATGACATCATAATCTGACCGAAAGTGAACCTTTACTGAGTTTTCTGTGGCGCTTCTGTTTAATATTTGCTCTTAACTGCCTTAGAAGTAATGCATAGAAGTGATGTTTCATCTGATGGAACAGTCTTTGCCTTCTTTGGCAGGAGTGAACCACGGTGCTTCCATTATTTAGACTACTGTTTGGCCTTTGGGTTGAAATGATGTACTCTTTCCTGTGAAATCCCTACTGTACTGATTATATCTCTCTCTGTAAACACCCCTGTCAGCCAGAACAATATCTTGAACTTTATTGATCATTGCTGGTGCTCGTACATTGACAGGCCTTACAGGATGGGCATCATCCCCAAGATTCAGCCTGCCACACTAAAATTCCACCACCCACCTTTTAACTGTAGCATATGAAGGGGCATCATACCTCTGTGCTGCTACCATATCAGTATGGATATCCTTGGGTGCTAGACCTTTCTTATGCAAATGTTGAAAGACTGCTCTATCAGTAATTTTGTCAATTTTGCAAAAGTCACTTGCCTTTGTTTACTTTGGAGTGCTACCTCGTCGACATAAACTGACCAAATGACACCAGTCTTCAGGTACACCACTTTAAACAATCAATATTGTCCTGCAGCATATCAAGACACTGTATCTACATTGTCCTACCTAGACACTGTATCTACATTGTCCTACCTAGACACTGTATCTACATTGTCCTACCTAGACACTGTATCTGCATTGTCCTACCTAGACACTGTATCTACATTGTCCTACCTATACACTGTATCTACATTGTCCTACCTAGACACTGTATCTGCATTGTCCTACCTATACACTGTATCTGCATTGTCCTACCTAGACACTGTACCTATATTGTTCTACAATTAGGACCTTACATCGATAAGCAATTAGCCTGGGTGTAGACAGTTATCTTACACAGGTTTTTACTATAAGGAAACAAACAGAAAGATTAATTATCTAACTATACAGAATGTTGACGTACTTATCCTGAACTAACATATTAATTCATTCACCAAAGGAATAGTCATTTCTCCCATAAACCAACTTACCTTTACAATATCCGAGTACGATTCCATGGTGTGTTTGTAGTACACCACACATTCTTCACAGAACCGAAACGGTCTTGCCTTTTCAATGATACATTTGATAAATTTCGATGCATGTATACCGAATTCTTCAAGATATGCAATGCAATTGTCATAAACAGGATACGGGGCTGTACCGTTCCTGATTTGAGTAAATAGCGCAGCATTCGTTAACCCATACTTGAGTTCCATGTGCTGTATTTGAAGATAATCTATGGAAAGATCCCAAGGGAGCTTAACAGAGTATTGGTGGTCAAGTCCCGATTTCACAAGAGTAAAACAAGATATAAACGCAATTATGTTTAAAACATTTCTGATGTACATGGTGTCTACCGACCTCCAACAAAAGTGCTTCTTTTCTCTTCCTCGTCATGTGATCACTACTTTCACTTTCTCCAACTTCCGGTATAATAAATAACATCCGGAAAAGAACCATTTAGGTCGATAGTTCCAACGGTTCGACATTCAGTGGAGACAGAAATCAAATCGAATGTTTTGTTTCTCAATTTTCATTATTTTTCTGTTATACGATTCCTTCTGATAAAATTCAGTTCACGCATTTATTTTTCTTAAACGATACTCAATAGGGCCACCACTGACTTTTCCTTGTCGGGTGTGATTTAGTCATTTACATCCTTTACGTCATCAACGGTCAGCTTACACGAAGTAAAAATCTATTTATGAAAATATGTCAGTCAGTGGGGAAAAGAATTATTTTAATATGAAATTAAACACTTTTACATTAAAACAGTCCCCTGTCCTAAAATACTAGATACCAACATCTATTTGAATGGTTAAAGACCTGAAACCAAAGCGCATATGCAGTATTGTCCCTCACACTAGGGGAAACATAACCTGTGCCCATCCATCTCTTAGATATTACCAAGAATCATTTCCGCTGTCTCACATCCTCCTAGTGAATCTACCTGCTTTGCTGCTTCATGCCGAAAACTCTAGCCTGCCTATACTTTCCTGGGTCTGCTCCATCATGGTATTTGAATTTAGCCAAGACCATGACATCCTTAATACCAAAACCCCAACAATATCACTATTTCGGATAAGATATATAGAGAAAATGCCCCCAAAAAATAATCATCGAGTTATCTTCCGCTGGTGGTCGAAACTATTTCATTCAAGCAAAACATGTGAGCAGCTTTCATTACATGTAGTTTATTTTTCAATTAATTGAATGAGAATAATATAAACTGCATATATTCTAACTTCAAAGAGCATTTGACTAAGATCGAGTTACTGATTGACATTTTTCTTCATTAGCTACCTCAAATAAGGACAGCTTTTCACCAAGCTGTACGCAATGATTTCGATTCCTTGATGGTGAATTTCCCAATTTTATATAGCGACACACAAACTTCCCGAACAGACGACGTTTATACATCGAAGTCGTTAGGATATTCAAAGGCTTGTTCCCATTATCAAAAAAGTTGATACAAGATTCGATAACTGCATCAAAGATAACTCAAAATATAGGGTTTCGAGAGCTGAAGGTTGATGCAGATCATGTGGAAGTTTTAGTGTCGTTGCCATAATCTCCTTGGAAGTTATCATATTTCCTTGTAAATTATGAAGTTGGATGTGTTTGATGCTAATTGGTATTAACCGGTGGTTGCGTTGTTGACCTTGTTTTTAATAGCGAACATTGCTTTCTTGGATTGACGGAAGTTTACATTGCGACTGTCGTTAATGAAGCAGAACCCGCTTACCGCTCCGCAACACATGGTCTTCTTATTGTACTTTTCAGTCTCCGTCAAATGTTTCTTTTGTTCACATTTTCACCTCGTTTTATCGATTTTGTTTTTTTTTCTTTTTCTTCCGTTTTCCCATCCATTTTTCATCAAATTTTTGCCAGGTTTATTTTTTGCTGAGCTATGGCCATGTGCGTCCTATTGCGTTTCTGCACATTCTACCTGTATATCTCCGATTTCAACAACAACCAGCAAAAGCAGATCGGCTATTTAACAACTGTTTTAATCGTGGTATGATAACAACGAATTGTATATATATATATACATAGCAAGTACCAAATAGCAAGAAGACCCAGGCAGTCGTCAGAAGTACAGAATGGAACTTAATATTGCTATAGATATAGGATGATAAAGGTAAGTGTTCGTACCAGGTTTCATTATTTATTTTTTTAATATTATGAGTTGTGTGCAGTTCATTATAAACAATACACATATCATAACTAAACAGGCACTGGGTTCTATGTAAAATTACAATCATCATGAGTCACATTCAGGCATTTCTAACATTGGTATAATTTCTGCATGGCTATGATGTCGTCTGACAGGAGAGGTAATCTTGGTCCAATACTACTGTTGGCCTCATTATCTGGTAGCGAACTATTACGGAAGTCTGTCTGGAACAACCGTGATCCATCGTGAGAGATAAGCTGATTTTCTACATCAATAAAATCTTTGCGAGCTCGATCTGTCGAATCTGCAAACATTGAAACTACAATATTAGATAGTGCTATATCATTGCTTGTGTCTAATCTTAATATACATTTTTTACACAAATGACAACCACACGACCCATAAGTGAATCACGCATGATGAGAAATTCACGGAATACACAACTTTTGTGCGTTTTATTTTGCGACGTCTAATTTCAAAAAGGTACCGAAATATTCATCAAAACTGTCAGTATTTTATCTGATGAATCACCTAGTAACTATTGTAAGAATCAAAGCACTGGACGCACCACAAGGACTAGCTATCATAGAAAACACGTGTTTGAACAGGACCAAATACGTATAAATGAAACACATTGGCACCGAGATCAGAAAATACCAGTGTATCACCAAATACGTATGTATGGAAACACATTGGCACCGAGTTCTGAAGATACCAGTGTATCACCAAATACGTATGTATGGAAACACATTGGCACCGAGTTCTGAAGATACCAGCATATCACCAAATACGTATGTATGGAAACACATTGGCACCGAGTTCAGAAGATACCAGTATATCACCAAATACGTATGTATGGAAACACAATGGTACCGAGTTCTGAAGACACCAGTATATCACCAAATACGTATGTATGGAAACACATTGGCACCGAGTTTTGAAGACACCAGTATATCACCAAATACGTAAGTATATAAACACATTGGCAACGAGTTCTGAAGATACCAGTATATAAACTGTTTCGCATTTAAAGACCTTTCACCATTACTAAGGTACTTTTGTTTTGTTTATTACCGGTTTATATTGATTGTAAACAATATCTGTCAAAAACTTTTTGAAGATACATGGAGGAAAGACATCGAGATTAACGTAGGTAGATGAGGTAACTATGTGATAAACATTGTATAAAGTACAAATGTACGAGAGCATTAATGAAAGAATGTGTACACATTGCTGAATGACAACACAAGAGTAGACAAGAAGAAATATTTATCCTGCAAGAGTGTTAAAACAAGAGGATAAGTTCAGTCATCGAACAAGATGAATTGAGTCCATACGTGTACTTGAGTGATTGTAGGCGAACAAAGAGGCCATTGTGTAAAGTAAATATACCGCTTATCACCGGACCTGTTTCTTGTTAATTTTCCTGGTGTTCAAGCTGATGTAGAAAACATTCTTGATAAAAAGACTAACACACATCAATAACATTACATTTACCATACCAAGACTAATGCATGGTTTCAAGTACCTTTCTCAAACCTTATATGTTTAAAAAATTAAAAGACTAAACATGTCTGTTTGAGACCATACCATACCTCCCTGTATGGAACACATACATTATAAATATATCTCTGTATGCATAACATATTGAGTTTAGATGTGGGACCCTAATAATAATATCATTAATGCACCTGTCCCTCAGGGTTTTGACATTTTATCGACCAAATTTGATTCTCTTCACTGGTGTCCAAGGCTTCCCTATATAGACCATACGCATCACTGCTGTGTCCTAGATGGATGAAACAGCTGAATGATGCTATTTAAATCGTTACTTTTTACTTTATTATAATGTGTGTAGCTTTAAATAAGTATTGAATAGTACTAATAAGTTATGTGCATTTTGTTAACGTTCCTAAACATACCTCCCTGACACCCATCGCTGCTAATAACTGTGTCATTTTTCTTCCATTCTTCATCCTTGGGGACAAGAGGAAACACAGAAACCAGATTTCGTGTAGCAGATTTAGCAGAAAACCCCTTTCCTTCGTGTAGTGATGATTTCCAATCTTTCCATCGGCTGAAAACAACGTCATAGTTTTTGTTGCTCGAAACCAGTCTTGATTTGCCATCTTTCAAAGCAAACGTTTTGCATGTCGGTTCCTTACTGCTCAATACTCGAACCTTGTCGTTTTTCCGGATATAACTTGCGTCCGGATTGTGTTCACGACCTTTAGCTATTGTACGACAATCGGTTTGTTGAGCTTGCTCGGACACTTTAGAATCGTCCGGTTTCAACTTACATCTGTCTACTAACGAGAATATTTCGTGGTTTTGACATGACATTTGCAACATTTTCCCACACCGCTTCTGCTCCACACACGCTGTTTTTCCACTTTCTACTCTGTCTTCAGTGACGCTAGCTTCCTTAGTTTCGGCCTTTTGACTTTGCTGTGTAGATTCCTTCCTGTTGATTGCGCTTTGACTCGCTAAGTTTGTGTTCAGATCCATTGATATTGGCTGTGATATAATCGATGGCTTTGGGAGTATTTTCCGGTATTTCATCTTGATTCCAGACCCAAAAGTTATGGACCCAGTCATTAATCTTTCTTTATTTGTTCCGAGTTCGGGGCAAACATTATCATACCGTGGTGGGTGATGACAAAACGATTTTGGAACCGCCAACTCTCTTTTTCTCTGCTTTGTATTCTCATACTTACTATTGGGCGTCCTTCGACAATGTAAATTTCTCTTTGGGGTAAATTCTTTGTAACCGCGTTGAAAACGTTCTGTGTGTTTGTGTTTACGCTTTCTGGTTACATTTAAGTTCAAACGATTTATTTCATTATTGAAGTTTAGTTCAAAATGTTTCTTCACATCGGGAGCAGAGTCAGTACATTTTTTGCTGTCATATACTGGCGACTGTGGCAGATTCCTAGTCTTGTCGTCACTCGATTTGTTAATGACACCTGTACACACATTTATACCAGAATAGTCTTGTCCGGCTGAGAAAGTAGTTATATACGTTGTAGGCGGTGATATTACAGAACATTGGTCGGAAGTCATCCTCGAACTTAGACAGTCAATATCGTCAGACAAAGTTCCTGAATAGCGATCATGTTTTGCGACGTACTCGGACAATAGTGGCATTGATTTGGCATGTAAGTCCTTAGATTTCTCACTACTGTGACCACA